TTTTTTTTTTTTTTTTTTCCTTTTTTTATAATTTTTGAGTTTCATTCCACATTTTTCTCCTACTCTATCAGGATCTCCTATTTTGATCCCTTCCCAAGTGGTTGCCAGTGGTAGCCAGGCACCATCTAGTTCTTCTGGTCTCAGGGTCATATAGACTGAGGTTCACATGGTCCCCTAGTCCCTTGGACGAATTGTTTCCTTGCATCTTTGGTTTTCTTCATTCTTCTTTCTCTATATTGCTTTTAATTATTAACTAGGTAACATGGAGGACATTATCTTAAAATTAACATAATTATAAACACTACTAACTTTATTTCAAAGTGTTTATTTTTTTGTTTTCTGTTTTCCTTGACTAGCTTTTACAAACCAAAAAATGTGCCTTCATCTCCACCATCATCAATGCACTAAGGTCTACTCAATGGTTTTTAGAATAAAAAAAAAAGAACAGTACAATCCCTCTACACCTCTCAACTCCGAGCTTGGTAAACAGTGTTAGCCCAGCCTATTAGCATCTGGAGCAGCAAACTATAAGGTCTAACTTGCATTTCCCACTTTCTTGCCTGAACAAAGCTATCTTTTTCTTTTTCTAGCTCTCAGCCCTTCTCCTCCCCCTCCCTTCATCTCCACCATTACCACCTTGAAACCCTACCAGACATTTTCCTAAAAACAGCACACACATCTTAAACTGTGCTGAAACTTCAGTATACTGCCAGATGCCAATAGTTGTTCCTCAAAAAAAAAACATTGTACTGTGTTAGAAGAGTTCAGAAAAACTTGTATTTAAGAGAAGAAAGCAAATCTCTTTGCTGTAGGGCTTACACTCAGAACTTTGAGTAGGCTTATGAATTTTGTGGAGAATCTGGAGGTACTAGAAAAAGTATGTTCTCTGAGGAGATTTCACCTGAGAGCTCTTGCTACAGGGACTTCTGTTATCATCTTACTAGATCTGAGTGGGAGACCCTGAGTGGTGCAAATGATTAACCTGCTCAGTTCCAGTCTACCCAGAGGTGCCTCGGAAGAAAAACTTGGCTATCTGTGAAAAAGCAGCCATTGAAAACTCTATGGAGCACCTGACACACTTAGGGTCATTGTAAGTCAGAGTCAACTCAAAGGCAGTTGGTTACATCTGAGTGTTGTGGGGCAAGCAGTTGGGGGAAAGGCAACTCTGCATTCTGCTGGGGTAAGCAGCAAGAAGAAGGTGGAGGAGGGTGGGAGCTGCCTAGGGTCAGCTCAGTAAGGAATAAGTAGGGCAGCCCCAAATGGAAGGACAGATGTGGGAGAGAGGTCCTGTTTGGGGAGATGAAGTGGAGTTCAAAGGGACTCCCATAAACAGGAGAAAGTTCATATTGCAGAAGGTGGAGTGAGTTCCAAAATCTATACTTAGAGATCCCAAAATTCTAGCTCCATGTCTAGGACTCAGGGAGGAAGCATATTTGCCTCATAGTTTGAGAAGGGTTAGATGTTGCCAATTTTGCCTGTTGGGCCCTAAAATAGTAGCACTGGAGATACATCCTTTGGAGCAAAAGCCTCTCCAAGTAGACCCCAGAACCACCACCTACTAACTCGGTGACCCAGGTGGGTCACTGACTCTTAGAACCTGATTCTGCATCATATATAGCAGGGGAATACTAACACCACTTGCTCATAGGGAAGTCGTGGCTGAATGAGGTGTGGCTCAATGCCCAGCATGTAGTGTGAGTTTACTCATGCTCAGTTCCCTTTAATGAATCACATCTTTCCCTGTCACTCTCTCTGGATTTTTCTTAGGTCAAGAAGAAGAGAGACTGGCCCTTGAAACTGCCCTAATGTATGGAGTTAAAAAGCCCCTCAACACAGAAGGTGTCTTCAAACCACAGTCTGATGTTGACATGGACTTTGAAGTGGAAAATGCTGTGCTGGGAAAAGACTTCAAAATCACCATCACTTTCCAGAACAACAGCTCCAACCTTTACAACATCTCAGCCTATCTCTCAGCCAATATCACCTTCTACACTGGAGTAGCCAAGGCCGAATTTAAAAAGGAGACATTCGATGTGATGCTGAATCCCTTATCCTGTAAGCCAAAGGGGTGTGGTTCTCTCCAGAATTTGTGGTCTGGCTCCCTGTCTGCCTTGGTGATAATCTCCCATCACCCCTATAACATTCTGTCGAAGTGGAAGTTCTCTCCCAGAGTTCAGGAGAGTGAACCCACTTAGGAGTAGAACCTACCAATTCTAGAAAAGCTTCAACTTTCATCTTCATGTCTCATGGTTAGAGGTGAACACTGACATTCTCAAAGCCAACAGCCCGGGCTACTAGTGAAAATCAAATGTATCTTAAATTCTTGATACTCAAAGTGTGATCAGAGGACCTGAAGAGTTCCCATCCCCAGGGAGGCTGTTTTCTAGGCCTGGTGAATGGGAATCTGCATTTTAACAAGCTCCCCAGGGCATTCATAAAGCTCTGGTCTAAATGACCCATCCCAGAAAACAGACCTCTTGCTTTCTGAAGTTCCTCTCTCTCAAGTTAGGAGAGGCTTTGGGGAGCTACCTAGCAGGAAATGTGTGTTTTGATTTACCACTTAGAAGGCAGAATGCATTAATTTTCTAGTGCAGCCTTAACAAAGTACAAGGAAGGGGTGGCTTCTTACTATTTTTTTATTCTGATTTGGGTGCAATTTTAAAAAGCAGATTTGTTTTACTTTCAACAGTTCATACACATTTTGTTTTATGATACTGATTATAATCCCCACAATGGAACAGCTGTCCTCCAACCTCCTCCCTGCAGTTACCCCTTCCCTGTGTCCTTCTTACCTATGCATTCCTGCCTGCCTAGATTTCTCCCTGTGCAAATGCTGCCTTCTGATCTCCCATGGTTGACTCTTTTAAGGAGTGTATCTCCCTGGTGTGGTTATTGAACCCATAGATCTGTCTGTTGTTTAGCTGAGAGTTGAGCCACAAGAGTGAGTCCAATTCCAGTACCTAAGGGTGACCTGAGGCTACAGTCTCAGGGGTTTCATCAGTCTCTAACCAACCAATAATCTTGGTCCTTTTTATGTTTTTAATTTTGTTCCACATTTTTTCTCCCCCTCTATCCAGGAATTTCAATTCTGATCCCCTTTCGAGTGTTTGGCATTAGTGACCCGGCACCACTTAGTTCTTCTGGTCTCAGAGTTGTAAAGACTGAGGTTCCTGTGGTCCATTGGTCCTATGGACTAATTGTTTCCATAACTCTTTGAGTTTCTTCACTCTTTGCTACAGACAAGGAGTTGCATCTCAGATAGCCATTCACAAGCTTTTAAGACCCTAGTCACTACTTACCAAAGTAGGATGTAAAACAATGTTTTTGTGTACTATGTTGTGTCAATTGAGCTTGATGTCCCCTTCAACCATGCTCCTAAGCTCACAGGCCCAGTCACACACTTCCTTTAGGTGCTAGGTTGTGGTTAAGAAGTTATCCTAACTTTGTCCTGTATCTCTATAATGTATATGAATATTTTTATAGCACATACAAATGTGTATATGGGAATATCGTCTGCCAAACCTATGTATCATCATGGGTATATTCCTGTTTGGGATGGTTTATTTGTTGTCGCTATGTGCTGCTGAATCAGTTCTAACTCATAGTGACCCTATGTACAACAGAACAAAACACTGCCCAGTATGGTGCCATCCTCAAAACCATCACTATGTTTGAGCCCATTGTTGCCGCCACTCTGTCAATCCACCTCGTTGAAGGTCTTCCTCTTTTTTGCTGTCCCTCTACTTTACCAACCATAATGTCCTTCTCCTCCTGACAATATATCCAATGCATGTGGGATGAAGTCTCGCCATCCTTGCTTCTAAGGAACATTCTGGCTGTACTTTTTCCAAGCAGATGTGTTCATTCTTCTGGCAGTCCATAGCATCCTCAATATTCTTCACCAAAACCATAATTCAAATTCAGAGTGGCTTATAAGGAAAGTAATGTATTGTCTCATAGTCTGGAGGCTGAGAGTCCAGTTTCAGAGTGTTGATAGCACCATGTTTCCTCCAGAGGCTCTAGAGGAAGATCCTTTCTTCTCTCCAAGCTTCTGGTGACTCCAGGCATTTTTGGAATATAAATGCATTTTCTTATTGTCCTCTTTCCTTTGTCTGTCTTTCTGTATCTCTTCTTCTCTTTTATTAAACCACTCACATGGGCTCAGTACCCACCCTACTCCAGTATGACCTCATCATAGCTTAATTGATAACATCTTCTTCAAGGACCCTATTTCTAAATAAGGTCACATTCACAGGTACAGAGCTTAGGACTTGAACATGTCTGAGAGACACAATTCAATACAGGCTCTGCATACAAGCTACTTTTTTGTTTCTTAAAAATGATGTGTCTGAATGTGTCAGGTCAGGACAGAGCCAGAAATTAGGAGAAGAGAATGGAGACAGAGGGTATGCTGTCCTGGAGCCATGAAGGACTTGGCTTTTTCTGCCATCACTCTCAGGGTCTCTTTCACCTCCTTGGTGTCCACCAGCCTCTCTTACACACATGCCCTTCCAAGGATTCTTTACACTATAAAAATTCAGAATATATTAAACCTTTGAGTTGCCTATGGGTTTGGAATTTTGACTAATTGCATTTCCTGGAATATTAGTATTGTTGGGCATAACAGAATGAGTCAGCTGGAAGAACCTGAGCTACAGCCAGAGTGTGTCGAGTTAGATCTAGCTGGTTGGGTAGGGTGAATACATTGAAGACATTGAGTTTCTGTTGACCTGACATGTGGCTCTGCTTCGTTGGTGGTCTGAAAAGGAAAAGTAAAAAAGTATACAACTAATAATTTTTACAAAGAGGAGACAAGCAAGACTAATAGGTACCCTGGGATAAGTGAATCACTTGTATCAATTGTTCTCAAGCTTTCCAGATTTGTTTTTCCCAGAAAAATGGGAAACTATTCCTGAAAACCCTAATTCCAAGAAACCAGCTCAAAATTGAAGGAAGCAAATCTTCCTCATTTCAGTAATGTAGATAATAATTAAATCATCAAGGTATTTTCTTTAGAAACTGAGGGATTTAACACCTTTCCTATTCCTACTGGTAGGAAAGTAATTCTTACAGAAGAGTCAGTAGCAAGGACTCAAGAGGAGAACAGTCACCATCATTTTTTGGAACAGTTAGACACATTGGATGTAAAGAGCCTGGGCTTGGAATCAGACAAATCTGAGTATACCATGTGACTATGCCACCTCCTAGCTGTGTGGCCCTTGGCAAGTTCCTTTAGCAATCTGATCTCACTCTCCTCCTCTGTAAATGGAGACTACACTACCTGTACCACAGAGTTGTTGAGTCATTCCCCAGATCTTTATTTAGTGCTTTCAAGTCCAGGTACTGTTTTGTGCTGGAGGTATACCCATTCATGAGTTGTTCCAACTTATAATGATCCTATAGGGCAGAGTAGAATTGCCCATAGGGTTTCTGAGGCTGCAAATCTTTACAGAAGCAGAATGCTTCATCCGTCTTCCATGGAGCAATCGATGGGTTTGAACTGCCAATCTTTTGTTTAACAGACAAATGTCTTAACCACTGTACCACCAGAGCTCCTTGATGGAGGTATGTTGTTGTTGTTGTTATGTGCCGTCAAGTCAGACCTGACTCATAGTGACCCCTCCTTGGGTTTCCAAGGTGGTATCACTATAGAAGTAGATTGCCCAACCTTCCTTCCGAGGAGTGGCTGGTGGGTTTGAACCACCAGCCTTCTGGTTAGCAGTCAAGTACCTTAGGCACTACACTACCAGAGCTCCTTGATGGGCATATAGCAACAAATAAAACAGAAGTCCCTGCCTTCAGTGAGTTTATTATAGTCTAGTACAGTTTCAGACCAATAAACAACCAAGCTATCAATGTATCATGTGTTGATGGTGCTAAGTACAATGGAAAATATGAAGCAGGTTAAGGGGGACAAAGAGTGCTGGTGGAGAGGGGTGGTCAAGGAAAACCTCTCTAATAGAGGGATCTTTAACAGATTTGACAGAGGACAGGAATGAACCCTGTGGCCATCTAGAGAAAGAGCATCCCAACCAGAAGAAACCATAAGTGTAAAGACCATGAGACAAAATTGTGTCTGATGTGTTCAGTGCTCACCAAGGAGACCTGGTGTGGAGGTGGCAAGGGGGACAATGGGAGGTACAAACCATGTAAAGAATTGGAAGCTCTTATAAGTACTTTGACTTTATTTCTGAGTCAGGTGGGGATTCATTGGAGGATTTTGAGCAGTATTGTGGCATGATCTAACTTAGGGTTTGGAAGGTCACTCTAGCTATTATAGACTATCGTGGAAGAAGAGCTTGAAGCTTCAAGACCAAGTAGGATGCTATTATTTCAGTAGTCTAGGTGAGAGATGATAGTGGCAGTGGTGGAAGTGGTGAGAATCATCAGGTGTGAGTATGCTCTGGAGGTACAGCTCTCTGGATTAACTGAGGGATTGGATGTGTGGTGTCAGAGAAGGAGGATATGGAGAAAATTAAAGGTGATAATATATGTGAAATGATTACTAACATAGTAGGCTCCCAATAAGTGTAATTTTCAACACTTTTACATTTGGAGAAACTGAGACTGGAAAGGTCTTGAACAATGACTTATTTAAGGCTACACAGAGCAAGAAGAGAAGTGTATAGTAAATCCAAGCCCAGTCAGGCAGTGAGAGTGAGCCAGTTCTGTGTAAAAGTTCAGGCCTAAGTGGGCCAGCTCCCTTATACATGCCCCCAAACCTGGAGTCTAGCATGGGTGCTACCCTAATTCTCAGGAAAATATGAGCCAGCCTTGCCCCACCTCTCAATAGTCCCATCACTCAATCCCCTTCCTCTTCTCTCCCTTTCCAATAAAACAAATTGCCATAGAGTTAGCCCCCAACTCACGTGACCCTATGCACAATGGAACAAAACACTGCCTGGTCCTGCACCAAACCCATGATCCGTTGTGAATTGGACCATGTGATCTACAGTATTTTCATTAGCTGATTTTCAGAATTAGATTGCCAGGATTTTCTTCTTAGTCCATCCTATTCTGAAAGCTCTTCTGAAATCTGTTCAGCATCATAGCAACCCCACAAGCCTCCACTGACAGATGGATGATGGCTGTGCATGAAATGCATTGGCTGGGAATCCAATGGATTTCCCATATGGGAGGTGAGAATTCCATCTCTGAACTAGCACTACCTCAGTGGGACAGAACAGTATGATCTATTATTTAGAACAGTCATTTATCTAGAAGAACTGACCAAATCTAAGCCTGACTCAGTATTAGCACACTTCCGACCTACTGTGCCCATCCCAAGGGCTTGTCCTGATGTCCTGAATAACTCGAAGGGAAGAGAAGACTTGTTTGCTTTATCCTGCAGTTAACAACATTAATTGTATATAAACTGCTGTCTAAATTGCTGAATGAAATATAATTCTAGACCTTGATCAAGTGAGTCAAAAACATAGACTTCTAGGTGGTTCTATTGAAAAGAAACTTTTCCAAGTAGAATCGAAGGCATACTTTCCAGATTGATGATTAAAGGGGAATGTGTGGGCTGGAGTCAGCTGGAAGATTTGAATAACTTAAACCTTCCAGTACCTTCAAAGGTGCTATCATTTCCACTTGGATATATTTAGTTTTCTTTGCTTTTTGGAAAAGAGATGAGGCAGCTCCATTTGTGTCTCCCCTGGCTTTCCCCAGACACCGTAAATGATATTGGCAGCATCCCAGCTCCACCACTCACATAGTGAAAATCTATTCTTCTTTCTCTTGCCACATTTAATAAACTTTATCTAGAACAATTTCTTGTTCAGTGGCAAAACACAGCACTTACATAACATACTATTTCAGGAGCACTGTTCTCCTGGGCTCTGAAGCACAGCCCAGTTTCTTCAGTTCTATGATCTTAGGAATTTTCTATCTCAGAGAATAAAAAAGTCCTGTTGCTGAGATTATAAAGGCAGCAAGCACCTCTGTAAAGATTAGTAGGAAAAACTCAGGCACATCTCACAGCCTAAAGGAACAGAGTGGTCAAACACATTCTTCTAGAAACAGCCAGAGGAAGTCCATTTTTATTATTATTATTACTAGGGGAAGCTGGAGACAAAATGCATGTTCTTCAAAGACTGCAACTCTACACTCTGTCAGGCCCAATCTGGGGTCAAGTAAGAACAGGCCACCTGTGTTCAATCTAGTTTGTATCCCACTTGAGGCCAGAGCCTCATCCATCTAGACAACTAATTGCTAGAGAAGTCATGGTGAAAGCAGAGTCCAGGATCAAATCCAAAAAAGGTAAAATGAGTAGATCATTCAAAATGCCAGAATTTGAGGCCAAGGTCAAAGCAGGTCATAGCTTCAAAGAGTTCTTCTAAGTGGAACGGAACTGCCTTTGGAATTAAGCCAGTTCTTTAGTACTTGTCTAGGATGACTCAATGCATTCTAATAACTCCTCCTAACTTAGATCAGGGCTCTGCAATCTCCTCACTATCTGCATTTTGGATGGGACACTTCTTTGTTGAGGCATCCTTTGTATTATAAAGATGTTGACCATCAGCCCTGGACTCTACCCACTAGGATCCAGTAGCACACACCTCCCCAAACAGCAACAATCAAATATGTCTTCAGACACTGCCACTGTGTTGGATGACCAATTGTTCTAGTTTTTCAGGGATTAAGGAAGTTCCCAGGACTCAGGACTTACAGTTTTAAAATTGAGGCCATCCTAACTCCCCACTAACTCTGCTCCATCTCCTGTTAGAACCACCTACCTCTCTGTGTCTCTCAGACTTTAATAAGCATCATCTGAGGATCTTATTAAAGTACAGATCCTGAATCACCAGGGCTGGGATGGGTCAAGGAGCCTGCACTTCTGATGAGCTTCCAAAAGATGATAGTGCTGCTGCTCAAGGACCACATACTTGGAGTAGAGAGGTCTGAGATTGGAAGGTCCATGCCTTCCACTTAACCAGTTCCTTTGAGTTGATTCCAACTCATGGGGACTGTATGTGTGTCAGAGTAGAACTGTGTTCCATAGGGTTTTCAATGTCTGAATTTCCATATATACTTTCTCCTGAGGCACTTCTATGTGGACTCATACTTTCAACCTTTTGGTTAGCAACCGAGCAAGTTAACTGTTTGCACCACCCCAGGCCTCCATTTTCCACTTAGATTGAGGCTTTGTGCATGGCTGGTTCTGTGGGGTTCACCTGGGTGCTAGTCCAATGCTTCTTGGACCTGACAGAACATTAACAAATATTTAAGAAATACTGATGTCTGGAAAACAACCTTAAAGGTCCTAATTGGGTTGATTTGGGGTGGGATCTTGCACAACAGGTTCTGCAATGTCCCTGGATGATTGTAATGTGGAATGACTTTGAGAACCACTCCATTAGAGGGGTAGAGGCACTCATGGCATGTGCTCATTTATGCAGATATTTTGCAGTGGAGGTGCTGCCTAAGGCCAGGACCTTCCTGGCCTCTGTGTCCTCAGGGCCCAGGGCAAGTTGCTGCAGACCAACCCAAGATATATGCATCCCAGCCATGAATCATAGATGGTCTGATGCACCCTTGCCTAGGAGCTAATGTGAGTCCTATTGGGCCACTGCCCTGTGCTTCTTCACACAGGTTTCATCATTGATAGGGACAGGCTGCTCAATCTGCAGTGCTAAAACAAGCTCCTCTCTACCATTTAAACTGTCATCCATGAGAGCAGTTACCTTCAATAACTTCCACAGAAGAGCTGAAGGAGGAATCTTTGGCAGAAACCCTACAATGGGCAGGGAAGCAGTGGAGAAGTTTATGGAGGCTGTGCTTAGTGCATGGGGATGCTGATGGAGGCATGAGTAATTGCCCCCCTCAACCCCCACTCCTGCTGCCTGCTGTGGGGTGCAACTGACAGTGTATTACCTTTGCCCATGTAGCAGCAGCCCAGCTGCACTGTGCAGGGGCTTGGCCAGAGAACCACGCATTGCTCTCTAGAATCACGAGCTGTAGGAAGTGGGATAAAGTGGGCAGTGCAGCGAGAGACTCATTGCAGTGGCCAGGTCAACAGCTAGAATCCCCTGTCCCCAGCCCAGATGGTGATTACAGGGGAGCCAGTGACACTTCCTCAATGACCCATCATCCTCAATATCTGAAAAACAGCACCAGTGATTTGCAGAAACAAGCATTTGGTACAGATGCCCTCTTTTGAGTTGTGAATAGGGCAGGGCTCCTCCCTTGAGGAGTGTTCAAGGATAAGGCTGCCATAGTTCACAGCTATCTTGAGTGTGGTACTTGAGGTGCTTCTTATTCCAGGGGACAGCAGCATTTGGAGTGACTGTGCACTAGGCTACTTGTCACTTGTCTTCATGGAGTTGACCACTGTGCAACTCAACCAGCTACAGTTAAAAACTCCTGGCTCCTCAATTTTAAACATCTTTGTGGAGTCCCTGGGTGGTGCAAGCAGTGAAGCACTGGGCTACTAACTGAAATATTGGTGATTTGAACCCACTTAAATTCTTGTCAGAAGACAGGTCTAGCAATGTATTTCCAAAAAAGCAGCCATTGGAAAGCCTACGGAGCACAGTTCCACTCTCACACATGGGATCACCATGAATTGGAATCAGCTCGACAACAATTTGTTTTTTGGTTTGTGGCATTCTCCTTTATAACAGCAAAAGCTTTGTTCTGAAAGTTTGACACGTTTTCTCTAGCAAGACTTTACTAAATATTAAAGTATTTCTTTGCTAAAGAAACAGGAGAGCTCATCACCAATTGACTCATTCTAGTTTCCCCTTACCCTTGTTTTGTCCCTGGTTGCTGCTTTGTGAATGTGGGAAAGAGGGCGGGACATGGGGAAAAATAAGACAGGTCTTAATTTCAGGTCTTGATGCCTGGTGTGTTATTTTTCCTCTTGCCAGTCAAGAAGGAGCAGGTGCTGGTCAGAGCCGGCGAGTACATGGGCCAGCTGCTGGAACAGGCCTCCCTGCACTTCTTCATCACAGCCCGTGTCAATGAGACCAACAATGTCCTGGCAAAGCAGAAGTCCATGGTGCTGACAATCCCCAAGGTGATCATCAAGGTGAGTCTTAGTATTTCAGACAAGGTTGTTGATTAGGCATCCAGGCTTGGTGTGTGTGAGAGAGTATGTGCACTGTTCCAAAATATGGATCCAGGATCCGCCTGTTCTTTGAAAGAAGCAAACCGCCCTTTATATAGACACACACATATAACACTCTTCTCTCTTCTCCAGATTTAAATATATAGATGTGGCTGCAGATATAAATATAACCTGTGGGTCTAAACACACTTGTGGAGGAAGATAAAGATGCATAATGAATGCAGAGATTGAGAACTATCATTGTCTCCAGAATAAAGTGGGTCAGGCAGGGCACATGACATATGAACTGACTAGACAATCTCCCACCTGCATTTTGGCTACTAATGTTGTTAAGTGGGGTCTAATTCCTATGCAGTAAAATGCACACATTGAAAGAGACAGCTTGATGATATGACTTTTTATATTAAGATATAGAGAATTTCCAACACCCCAGAAAGTTTCTTCTTGTGTTTTTCATTCAACAGCCTACCCACCAATCACCAAAATAACCACTTTTCTAATTTCTATCACTGCAGTTTTGCTAATAATTTTAATGTTGTCTCACCAGGTACCACCAGAAATCTCTGCCAAAGGGCTCAAGAGACTTGGCACAGGAGACTCAAGGGTAGGCAGGAATAGAAGATGAATGTGATGGGCAGTCTGCTCCTGTTTTTCTGCAACACAGCTGTAGCTTCTGGCAGCATCTGTAGCCACATCCCTGAGATACCTATTTACCCAGTGAGCTATAGCCCAGGCCTCCAGCATGACCTCAGGGTGTGGCACCCTTATGCTTACAGAACTCCCTTTGATTCTGGAACACTTTTCTTAAAGTGGCTAAGAGTGATTAGCACAGATTCTCTAAGCTATTTCTAAAAAGAGGTAGATAAGTCAAAATTGTATCAAAAATGACATGTTTTAAATGGCCCTAGGGTGGGAGTATCTTCTTTCTCAAAGGACCTTGGCTGTGAATTATTTGTAAAGGTAATAATTATTATGTAGTATTCAAAATGACAGCTTTTGTTGCATACTTACTGGGCTCCGGTCACTGTTATCAAATCACCTCACATGTATCATTCCATTTTCAATACACAACAACCCTTCAAGTTAGGCAATAGTAATATATCTGCTTTGCAGATGCAACAACTGAAGAGCAGAGAAGCTCAGTAACTTGCCCAGGTCCTGCAGTGAGCAGACAGTGAACTGGATCCCCACCCCAGCAGACTGCTGTGAGTCTCATTTGGTCTGGTCCTACATGGATGGCCATAAGACAATAATATGTGCAGGTTCTCAGCAAGACCCAGCCAAACTCACAGACATTGGTGCCTGTCAAGGAACAGAATGCCTGGCCTTTCATCTACAGAAAAGGCTAAACCAATATATGTCTGGTTCTTTCACCCCAGTAACTGCCCTACAAGCGGGCCCATCACATACTCCCTAAACAAGAGGCCTCAAGAGCCAGGATAACAGTGGCAGAGTCTGTGGGCAAAACTGGACACAAGTCCGAAACAGGGACATGGTGATGAGATGCCCTAGAGACTAAGGAAAACCTAGGAGAACAGGCATTCAATAGTTGTGGCACCATAAACCACCACCATGACCGGCCATCCTTGAGTGAGAAGGCTGCCCACCACAGCTTGCTCCACAGAGACAGTTGTCAGCCATCCTGCAAGCCTTCTCAAGCCCATGCAAGCCGGGCTCATGAACTTAGCCCTGGAACCTCTCCCACCAGAGGCCAAGCCCATGTACTTTCACTAATTATGAAACAGCTTGTCACCACAAAGGTCTCAAGAGAGAGCCTCTCCAGGTTGTAAACTGCTCAAACCAGAGCCTAACACATAATTTAATTGCACTGCTCATAGTAAACTGGATGGATAAAGGAAACTACAGACAGTCCCCAGGTTACAAATGTCCAACTCACAGACAACTCTTACTTGCCCTTTAAAGTTATGTAAATTTGCCCTCACTTTCAAATAATTGAATCAACCCTTACTCACATGAATTTCTTCATCACAACCCCTTCAATTGCTGGACATGCAGCTTTTAAATCATTGAAAAGACTGTGAGCCTTTTCTTGCACTAAAAAAAGAAAGGAGGGGGGGAACTTTGCCATTGAGTCAATTCCAACTCATAGTGACCCTATAGGCCAGAGGAGAATTGCCCCACAGGATTTCCAAGTTGTAAATTTTTACCAAACAGACTGCCTCATCTTTCTCCAGCAGAACAGCTGGTTGGTTCGAACCATGGACCTTTTGATTGGCAGCCAAATGCTTTAACCACAGTGCCACCAGAGCTCCATTTTGCACTAAAACCCAAAAACCCAAACCCACTGCCATCAACTTGATTACCACTCATAGTGACCAGAATAGAATTGCCCCATAGGGTTTCCAAGGCTGTAAATCTTTACAGAAGCAGACCGCCTCATCTTTCTCCCACAGAGTAGCAGGTAGGTTTGAACTGCTGACCTTTTGATTAGCAGCTGAATGCCTTAACCACACACTGCCAGAGCTCCTTCTTAAACTAACCAAAACCAAACTGACTGCCATTGAGTCAGATCCGACTTATAGCAACTCCTCTTTGGGTTTCTGAGGTGGTATCTCTATGGAAATAGATTGCCCAATCTTCCTTCCAAGGAGTGGCTGGTGGGTTTGAACCTCTAGCCTTCTGGATAGCAGTCAAATGCCTTAGGCACTGCATCACCAGAGCTCCCCTCCCCTCTTGGACTAAAGTAAGACTCAATATGAATCATCTGCACCTGTTCTGACTTAACTACAAATTTGACTTAAAAACAGTTAGGAATGGATCTCCTTCATAACTTGGGGACTGCCTGTAGTAACTTTGATCTCTTCGGCATTACTAATTTGAAGGGTTATTTGTTAGTCATCTTCTGGGCTTATTTAAAGAGCAGCTTCATTCCCCAGGGGCAGAATCAAAAACCCAGGCAGGGAGGGTGATCCCTACTTATAAAAGAGTTTCTTTGTTCTTTGTTGTTGTTGTTGTTTTGTTTTGTTTTTACTTGCACAAAGGTATTGGAGGTGATTTTCCTGGAGAAAATGTACTAAAAAGAAAGGCTGGTAGGGCCATTTAGCTGGGATTCAAATATGAAAGAAACACATATTCTAGTCCTGTGCAATGTCAAGTTAGTTCAGCAAAGGGACAAGGCATCTTCACATAAATTGTCCCTACGTAATCCATTAGCCCCAAGGACAAACTAAATTTGATCTTGGAAAGAAGTATGACAGGGTTGAATGCTTCACATCCTAAAAAGCCACCCAGATGTCACTGAGCTGTGAAAGGCCCTGACTCTAGAAACTCTCACTTATAGAGTGGGAACCTGGGAATCTCTTAGCAGAATGGAGATATGAAATACAGAGCCATGCCATTGAGATAGGAGTGACCATCCTGAGTGACTGAGGGAGAGAAGGACACAGGGCAGGGGAGAGGAGAGGAGGGCTACAGTAGGACAAAACCACAATGGCTCAGAAATCCAGAATTAGCTAGGACATGTCTTCATATTCTAGGAAAATTCCAGAACCCCTCCTTCAATCTCTTGGAGCCTATGACAGGCCCACAGCTGACTGGACCTCTCAGGGTTGCTGTCCGTGAATGTGTCAAGCACCATGTGAAACAAAACTCACTGCCATTGAGTTGGATCTGACTCATAGTGACACCTCCTTGGGTTTACGAGGCAGTATCACTACAGAAGTAGATTGCCCAACCATCCTTCCGAAAGTTAGAGACAAAAGACCAGGACAGGAATCTCTCCTTCCTTGGCTTCTAGGAGGAATGAGACAACCACACACATGGTGATAATAATGAAAACAGCTGTGACATATTGAGCAGTGTATTTACACTTTTCTTTTAGTATTTTATTTTTTATATCATCTTACAAAGGCACTGTGGTGGCACTTTGGTTAAAGAGTTGGGCTGCTAACCAAAAAGTCAGTGGTTTGAACCCACCACCTGTTCTGCCAGAGAAAGATTAGCAGTCTACTTCCATAAAGATTTGTAATCTTGGCAACCCTATGGGGCAGTTCTACTCTGTTCTATCAGGTCACTGTGAGTAGGAATTGACTCCATGGTAGTGGGTATCATCCTATAAAATGGGTATTGTATTGTAACCCCATATTATAGATGGAAAAACTGAGGCTCAGATAGAGTAGTGCATGATAGCATTGTTATTGTTGTTGTTGTTATGTGCCGTCGAGTCGGCCCCGACTCATAGCGACCCCTCCTTGGGTTTCCGAGGCAGTATCACTACGGAAGTAGGATTGCCCAACCTTCCTTCCGAGGAGTGGCTGGTGGGTTTGAACCGCCAGCCGTCTGGTTAGCAGGCAAGTGTCTTAGCCACTATGCTACCAGAGCTCCCGCATGATAGCATAGTGGTCAAAATATGGGCTCTGGGACCAAACTGAGTTCAAAACATGTTGTCTCTACATAATAACTGTGAAATACTGGACAAATCATTTAACTTGTCTTAGCCTCTGTTTTTCTTCTGTAAAATAAAGATAATGGCAATACTTACTTCATAGGGTTGTTGTGAGAATTAAGTGAGTTAATGGATGATTCAGAGTCCCTGGGTGATGCAAACATTTAACACATCTGACTGTTAACCCAAAGACTAGAGGTTCAAATCCACCCAGAAGAAAGGTGTGGTGAGCTACTTCCAAAAAAATCAGCCATTAAAACAGAGCCAACTCAATGGCAATTGGCCTTTTAAAGATGCCTTTAAAGGCAACTTGGGGCCATTTTGAGGGGAGCCTAAAATTTTAGGATGAAGCTTTGTAATTAACTCTGTGGGTGAAGAGGCTTCACTATGAATTTTACAGCATGAACATAGTATTATTGTCAACAATATTGTCAGCTCTGGCTCTCCCAACTCTTGAAAGAGCCAACTCTACTTTCTCTCTTCTCTTCATAGCCTCTGCCCAGAACACTATCTTCTTCTGGAGTCCCCAGCTCAGCTTTGGGACAGGGTGTTACTT